ACATCCTGGGTCAGAAAATACCCAAAAAACCCCAAACCACCCCCAAAAAAACCCTTGAGTCAGAAAATACCCAAAAAACCCCAAAACCACCCCAAAAGAACAGCCCTGTGGTCAGTGGGTGTGGCAAGTGGGTGTGTTCAGTGGTCAGTGGGTGTGGTCAGTGGGTGTGGTCAGGGGTCAGTGGGTGTGGTCAGTGGGTGTGGTCAGTGGGTGTGGTCAGGGGTCAACGGGTGTGGTCAGTGGGTGTGGTCAGTGGGTGTGGTCAGTGGTCAGTGGGTGTGGTCAGTGGGTGTGGTCAGGGGTCAGTGGGTGTGGTCAGTGGGTGTGGTCAGTGGGTGTGGTCGGGGTCAACGGGTGTGGTCAGTGGGTGTGGTCAGTGGGTGTGGTCAGTGGTCAGTGGGTGTGGTCAGTGGTCAGTGGGTGTGGTCAGTGGGTGTGGTCAGTGGTCAGTGGGTGTGGTCAGGGGTCAGTGGGTGTGGTCAGTGGTCAGTGGGTGTGGTCAGTGGGTGTGGTCAGGGGTCAGTGGGTGTGGTCAGTGGGTGTGGTCAGGGGTCAGTGGGTGTGTTCAGTGGTCAGTGTGTGTGGTCACTGGTCAGTGGGCGTGGCCAGGGGGTCAGTGCACATGGTCAATGAGAAGGGTGTGTCCATTTGGTCAGTGGGAAGGGTGTGGCCATTGTGGGTGTGGTCATTTGGGTGGGCGTGGTCACTGAGGAGGGTGTGGTCAGTCTGGGGGTGTGGCCAATGGGATGGGCGTGGTCAATGTGAGGGGTGTGCCCATTTGAATGGGCGTGGCCATTCGGGATGTGGTCATTTGCATAGGTGTGGCCATTTTGGGATGCGGTCATTTGCATAGGTGTGGCCATTTTGGGATGTGGTCATTTGCATAGGTGTGGCCATTTTGGGATGCGGTCATTTGCATAGGTGTGGCCATATTAATGAGCGTGGTCAATTGGGGTGTGATCAATTGGTGGGTGTGGCCATTTTGGGAGATGACCATTTGAGTGGGTGTGGCCATTTTAATAGGCGTGGTCAATTCGTGGGTGTGGTCATTTTGGGGTTTGGGTGTGGCCATTTAGATGGACGTGGCCATTTGGGATGTGGTCATTTGCATAGGTGTGGCCATATTAATGAGCATGGTCAATCGGGGTGTGGTCAATAGGTGGGTGTGGCCATTTTGGGAGCTGACCATTTGAGTGGGTGTGGCCATTTTTATGGGCGTGGTCAATTCGTGGGTGTGGTCATTTTGGGGTGTGGGTGTGGTCATTTAGATGGGCGTGGCCATTTGGGATGTGGTCATTTGCATGGGTGTGGCCATATTAATGGGCATGGTCAACCAGGGTGTGGTCAATGGATGGGCGTGGCCATTTGGCAGAAGATGGCCATTGGATTGGGTGTGGCCATTTGGATGGGTGTGGCCATCTTGGGAGGTGACCATTTGAGTGAGTGTGGTCATTTTGATGGGCGTGGTCAATTAGTGGGTGTGGTCATTGGAGTGGGTGTGGCCATCTTCATGGGCGTGGCCATTTTGGGTGATGATCATTTGAGTGGGTGTGGCCATCATGATGGGCGTGGCCAACTGGTGTGGTCAATGGCTGGGCGTGGCCATTGTCTGGGTGTGGTTAGACGGGTGGGTGTGGCCACTTGTGTGGGCACGGCCACCCAATGAATGCCAAGATGGCGCCTGCCCTCCCGCCCACCTCCCGACCCCGTTTTCCCAAATCCACCGCTTTTCGCCCCAAAATCCCCCACCTACCCCAGACCACCACGGCCACGCCCCGGCTGGGCGGGGCCTCCAGCCAGGCCCCGCCCACCTCCTCCTCCAGCCGGCAGCTGAAATTCCCGGACATTTCCGGGGAGATCCGCAGGAAGAGCAGCTCCGCCCCCTCCTCGGTGACGTCACCGATGACGTCATCGGCGCTCGGCACCAGCTCGGCGCCGTCGTGGAAGAAGCGGAAGCGGCGGCGGAAGCGGCGCCGAGGCGCGGCGCAGGTCAGGCGCAGGCGCTGGCCCGCGGCCACCACGCCCGAGGGCGGCTCCACCGAGAGCAGAGGGGCCGGGCATGGACCTGGGAGCGGCGATTTTCCAGCCAAACCCAACCATGACCCAACCATGGCCCAACCAAACCCAACCATGACTCAATCATGACCCAACCAAACCCAACTAAACTCAACCAAACCCAACCATGGCCCAACCAAACCTAACTAAACTCAACCAAACCCAACCATGACCCAACCATGGCCCAACCATGACCCAACCATGACC